TTTCTCTTCCCTGTTTTTCTCACGTTAGGAGAGTGAAAAGGCGAAAACTCTCAACCATCTAGAGCTAGGCTGGAGATTAAGTGACACAAAATAATTGCAAAGCACCAGGAAGCGAGTATGTGATCGAGAAATCGATTGTAAACGTCCGGTTTTGGATACCTCCTTCCTGCCATTGAACTCCACAGTACGCGAATGATTCTTCGGCGCTTGCCTGAAGCGAGGCGGTGTCTGCCCGAGGCAACTTCCCGCTGGAATCCACGCAGGGGCAGCGTGAGACCCAGGAAACATGGCTGCAGAGCCGCCAAGCTGTTGGGCCTTGAGTAAAGGAGCTCAACCAGGCAAGCCGCATCACACGGGGCTAGAACCACATGCAACAGGTTCGTGTCTTCCTGCAGATTGCCCGGAGGTGACTTATTTGGCGGAACGATTAGGCGTTATGCCCGCTCAGGGGCACCGGTTCTGAATCGACTCCCACCCTTCTGAGCTACAGCAATCCTTTCCTAGGAAAACAGGGCTTAGCAATTGCAGCGCGGAGAATTTCTGTGCTGACGTGCACCCTCAGCAGGGTGTCTCTGAGCAGGGCACAGCCCGTTCAACATGCCTGTTCTTGACCCCAGCCTTCCTTTGTCAAGGTCGCACCCAAAGCATAAATGCAAATATTGCTTGGGGCCTGTGTGCTCCAACCTGATCTGGAAGTTACACACGATTTACTTTTAAGCATCACACCAATAAATTAGACTCCTGTTATAGCACTCCTTTGGAACAAAATGTCTATTATTTTTTTCCAAATTATAAAAACTTATGTATACATGCAAAATATGGCATTAAAATGGCACATAAAAGTATTTTAAAAAATAAAAAGTACCTATTAATACTCTATCTCTTAGAATTGATAGCCGGTATATATATCTCTAAAATTCAATAATTTTATATACTATATATTATATATATGTAATAGATAGATAGATACTTTTAATAATATGTGTATATCTATCTATCTTTATCTATCTCTATATATACTTTTGTTGTACTTATATTTTATCTCCATAAACATCATTGTTAATGGCATCCAGGTTTTTAAAGGACACCCTAGTGAGTGTGGTTTCCATGTACAAGTAAAGATTGAGTGGTTGTTTCTTGCTCTTCCTGGGCTTGATGACCTTGAAGAAGAAAGAGGTGAATAGAGGACACTTGAGTTGCAGCTGATTTTACCTTTCTCCTTGCACTGACACGGTCTCCCAGCCACCAGCCACCTCCCCATGAGCACTCTATTGTCACTGCCATCTCACATATGAGATTACTGAAGCTCATAGGGTTTAAGTCTTCCTCAAGACCACACACTTAGTGAGAGAGCCCTTAAAACGCAGCCTCGATGACCTCTAAAACATGAGCATTTGGTGGGCATACAACGCTTCCAGCCCCAAAGTTGCAATTGTTACAAGGGCTGCAAGTTGTTCCGAAAACAATTCACAGTCCAATGATCTGGTTGTTCTCGTTTTTTGATTTTCCTTAGCTCGGTTTCTGCAAGTCTAAAGAGGAAGAGGTGTTTGACATGGTTCACAGATATTTTAATCATTCCACCCACAGGGATTTCCAGTAGCCACCTCCTACCTCTCTGTCAATAGGTGGCATTATATGAATTAGATTACTGAACGCCAGATGGTAACTCAGTGGCAAATTAACCTCAAAATACGAATGTTAGAGAAAGGCTTTCATTAGTGATATTGAAGGTAATCGATACAATATGAGATTGCTCACACGTGGTATAAAAATCAATGTAATGGCAATGCCCTTGAATTGTGTTGACTATAGTTGACACAGCTAAAGGATTCTGTCTGTTGGATGCAGACTGCAAGGACCCCAGAATCTTTTCTCTGAAATTTTGGCTTCTAGCAAATTCCTCCAACAAGGTGATGATAAGATTGCACCAAAGATTGGGGAGCTATTATTTCCTGATAACTGAAGATCAGAGGACAGAACTAATTTGAGCACTTGGTTAATGGGCAATATATAGTTAATGAATGTCCGTGAGTGTGGAAGTTTCTGTTCTGAGACTTTTTCTTTATAACCTGGGAGGACTGTCAACTAAATAATACCCTTGAGAATTCTGTCTGCCCCAGTAGCTCAGGCCACTTTTAATCTCAAGTAGAGCAGGACCCATCTCAGAACAATGAAGTATCATTCATGTGGTCCTTTGACACCTCGGAGTGAAGTATTCGATAATGGGGGGGGTGAGAGCGGAGGAGACGGTGAGTGCATCTGAAAACGTGCTATTATTGCTGAGAAAATGGCAGAGTTAAGATTCTGTTTTTATTTTCATTTTTTTAATGTTTATTTCTTTTTGAGATGGAAGGAGACAGAGTGCAAGTGGGGGAGGGGCAGAGAGAGAGAGGGAGACACAGAATCCGAAGCAGGCTTCAGGCTCCGGGCTGTCGGCACAGAGCCCGACGCCGGGCTCGAACTCACGGACTGCAAGATCGTGACCTGAGCCGAAGTCGGATCCTCCACCGACTGAGCCACCCGGGCGCCCCCGAAATGTTTTTTTACTTGACCACCAGACGTGAGGTTAGATAAAAAATATTTTCTAATACTTAGGAAATTCTCAAACCTACGTTGAAATCTTTACATTCCTCTGGAGTGCATGACATGTGCTTGAATACCAGGCTCTGTAGAAAGACTAAAGCATTTCACAAGGTAGGTAACCGATTAGACTCCAGCCCTTCCTTCCTAGAAACGTTCATCACCAAATTTGCCTGAGCCTTTGATGAAGGTGGGGAGGGGGACCAGGAAAGCCTGGGATGCAGTCGTGTTACCATGGTGGCACAGAGCTAGGACACTTAGGGATGTGCTAAGGTGCCCTGTACCCTTGGAGTGCCCTTGTGACCCTGAGAAATGTTCTACTCCCTGTGTGTGTGTGTCCTCATGTTTCATGAGGTGGGGCTAATACCATAGAATACGGTTCTATGTCCAGATGCGTGTTGTTTTTATCTTTTTATTTTTTTTATTTTTTTTTTTTTAATTTTTTTTTTCAACGTTTATTTATTTTTGGGACAGAGAGAGACAGAGCATGAACGGGGGAGGGGCAGAGAGAGAGGGAGACACAGAATCAGAAACAGGCTCCAGGCTCTGAGCCGTCAGCCCAGAGCCCGACGCGGGGCTCGAACTCACGGACCGCGAGATCGTGACCTGGCTGAAGTCGGACGCTTAACCGACTGCGCCACCCAGGCGCCCCTGTTTTTATCTTTTTATTATCATTGCATAATGCTTTTCTCCTCCCACTGTCCTGTCTCCTACCCAGGCCCCCACCACAGCCACCAAGCTTCCAGGCAAGAAAGCCAAAGCCCTTGTCTAACTATACTCCTATTGTAAACGCCCCCCGAGTGAATTTTAGAAGCTGCAACAGTCAAATGCTGTGTTCAGGCCTCAGTTTTAGGAGAATACAAGATGTCTACTCTCTCCCCAGGTAAGTGAAGGATTAGAGGCCACTGAGGGTTTCAGGTTTCTTAGCACAGTTGATTCCAGCTTCTCTTCCCCATCCTCGCACCCCCACCTCGCACTCGGCTGATTCCGCATGAAGCTTGGTTTGGGCCTTGTTAGGATGCGTCTAGAGCTGTCCTCAGTCCACTCGTTGTCCCATATTGACCCCTAACGTGCAGCCTCCCTGCTCTGTCAGGGTGTTGTCCAGGTCGGGAAGATGCGTCTCTATTTCAGCAGCCTCCACCTTGCCAGCTCCCTGCGCTCTCTCGCACTTCTGCCCTGCGCTCGACCCCCCGCAGCTGGAGGCCTCACTGGTCTCACCCCCAGGTGCGAGCCAGGACTCAGCCAGTGAATGCCACCCCCCCACCACCCGGATCGCTCTCTTCTCTCTACGTTCCCGCTATTGAGACGCGGTGAAAACTGATGTTTACCGTCCTGGGCAGTGCGACTGCCGGGCTCTGCACGGACACCTGCTCCCTAGGCACTGGCGGGAAACCCTCCCAGGGGAGACCCGGGCGACTGTGGAACCTGCCTGCGGAGTCTGTTTTCTGGCAGGGATCCTACCCTTGTGCTGCCTATTGTTCAAAGCCTGAAACTGTCATGTCCTGATTGCGTCCTAGCACGGCCTATGGGGGGAGGCTACTCTGCTCTCTCCGGGAACGGAAGTCACCTGGTATGCTTCAAATACTGACTTTAGAGGGGCGCCTGGGTGGCGCAGTCGGTTAAGCGTCCGACTTCAGCCAGGTCACGATCTCGCGGTCCGTGAGTTCGAGCCCCGCGTCAGGCTCTGGGCTGATGGCTCAGAGCCTGGAGCCTGTTTCCGATTCTGTGTCTCCCTCTCTCTCTGCCCCTCCCCCGTTCATGCTCTGTCTCTCTCTGTCCCAAAAATAAATAAACATTGAAAAAAAAAATTCAAATACTGACTTTAGAGATTTCATCTCGTTAAGTGTTATTTCCCGTCATTTGGAGTAGATTTCATCCTCTATTCGTGACTCTGTGCTCTTGACATGTCCCTCCGTGGGTAACACGGTTCAGGAATCCGCACATTTGAGATATGACAATAGGAAAATACAGTTGAAGAATAAATCATGCGATGTACCAGTAAATCAGAGGATGGGACTAAATATTTCAAAGCACTAAGGGTAGGGATCCTTCCTGAGAGTATTCGTACCTTTGCATAAACCCCCAATTGTGCTTCCTCCAGAGACACCAGTTAAACAAATGCTCCCCTTTGGTGGGGGGGTTCATTGCAGAAAAGGGTTATTTTTGTGGACCGAATAAACCTTTTCCCAGGGCACAGGACCCACTGAGTTTTATATTGTTGTAGGACTAACGTACATAACCCGAGACTGACTCCAGTGAGGGCCTTGCCCTCTGGAAGTCACAGAAGGTAGCCCCCCCTATTGGTGAGGCCCGGTGTACCCCATCCTGTGTGGCTCACAGTGCACAAGTCAACCGCCCCCATGAAGCTCACTCCTGGATGAAAGAGACCACATCTGGCACTTTGGCAGAAGATGCCTTTTGAAAAAGCAAATTTTATTATTTTTTTTGTCCTACAAATGTGTTAGACGCGAAATCTAATCTGTTTGGTAAGTGCATAAAAACATGTTAATCTAATGCTGTTTTGAAGGAAGTAATGAAATCTATCATGCGGATAGAAGGAGCTCTTAATGTGCTGGACCACTTTCCACCGAGACTATTCTTCATTGATATTCTCCACTTTGACAATACAATTAACGCCACTCGATGGATTCAGAGGAGAGTTCTTCACTGCAATGTCCAGCTTGAAAGTCACACTGCGTGGTTGCTGTTTGTGTCCGTTCCTCTTGACGACCTTCAAGGAGAGATAAGAAAGACACGATGAGACCCGAAGGGTCTACAAGAGGGTCTCCTGTGTGGCCTACCCCCAGCCCCCTGCAGCCATTGTCTCCTGCTCCCTAGCATCCCCTGTCCTGTCTCAGAGGCTGCTCATTCTCTGTTTCCCGTCTCCTCCAACGCATCTTCTCTCTCTTCATGCCCTGGCGCCCGAATCTTTCCTGGTGCCCTGCCTAAGTGTCCACCGGGGTGGGGAGGAGGAACCAGGAAAGAAAGGGTGGAGCTGGTGCTCGCAGTGCTGAGTGCCGAGTCCTCAAGGAGCACAGAAGTGACGGGAAGCTTCCGCGGGTAAGTATGTTTCTCTGTGCAGTTGCTCTAGAGGAGAGGAACGTTGATGAGCGCATCCACAATTCCTACGTGGACTTTGTGAGTATGTGTGTATGTTCCTATGTGCATGGGAAAGAGTGTGGTGTCATATGGGTCAGGATGTGCACTGCACAACAGTGTGGTACCTTTGTCTCTAAGATACAGTTAGTGATTCAAGATCTTGGGGCTCCATGGGTCCTTAGTGTCTGGTGTGAGTTCTGTTGACCCTCTTTCTCCTTACACTTCTCTGTGACGCTTATTAGACACACTTTCTGTTTTCCCCTTGACCCCTGTGCTCACTTGTTTTCCTTCTCAGGTGTGAAGTATTTCACCCCCAAGAATCAGTTCTTCTCAACGCTTCACCCTTATGTGTCTGGGCTTTTCAGTGAGCGTGCCCGCGAATCTGACTCTGGAACCCAAGCACTGGGGCCAGTGTAGGAATGGCGGGTCGACCACAGACAGGCAGTGCCAATTAGGGCAAGGGCCTACCTTTCTCTGATGATGATCATCAGTATGTCTATCAATGAAATGAGAATAATGACGGTGTCTGCATCCCTGTTTCAGTTCCCAGCACACAAGAAGCACTCAGAGTTTTCTTATTGGGCCGCCTGGGTGGCTCAGTCGGTTAAGCGTCCGACTTTGGCTCAGGTCACGATCTCACAGTTCGTGGGCCTGAGCCCCGCATCAGGTTCTGTGCTGATAGCTCAGAGCCGTAAGCCTGCTTTGGATTCTGTGTCCTCTCTCTCTCTCTCTCTGCCTCTCCCCCACTCATACTCTGTCTCTCTCTCTCAAGAATAAACATTAAAAAAAAATTTTTTTAAGTTTCCTTATTATATCAATATACATGTTATCACCTTGAGATTTCTCACAAGCAGCATCGTTACACCCATGACTTTAAGAAAGATCTCTAACTGACAAATATTGCCGCTTCTGCTTCGGTATCCTTGTCCCTGAACCTCGCCTTTCTCCCTAATGCATCTGTCCAGGTAGTCACTACAATATGTTTTGCTAAAATCTCAAAGAGATCAAGCATTGTTCTGCTCCCCCAACAATTTTTCAAGTTGTCACCTATCTTCACAGGGATTTTTCCACTGGTTTCTGAAACAACGCTATACTACCTGCTCGGCTGACTCCTCCGTGTACCTTTCTGGCCTCCTCTTCCCACTGTGTTGACACCTGCTGTATTTTTCGCTTGTACACAAGTCATGTTGTCTCTCACACTCTTGAGGAAATGCCTGAATCACTTCCTCTGCCTAGAGCGCTTTCCAACGTCCTCTTTGCTAAGAAAAATACTGCCGACTACAGTGCGATTTCCCTTTTCTGCCAGGCAGTGAGATAACGTATATGCACGTTTTCACTGAACCAGGCAGGGTCTTCCGTTCACCCCGTAAGGCAGAGACTTTGACCATTTCAGATGACCGATCAGGACAGATTGCCAACATCAGGCAAGCGGTGAGTGCTGGAACCAGGACTCAAAGCACGACTGTCTTATTCAAAGCCTTGCTCTCAGCCACCACGAGAAATTCCTTTCTTTCCCGCTTTCCTAATTTCTCCCAGTGTTTGCTTGTTTCACGTAAGTATCGTATCCTTTTGAAATCTGTGTGAATGTCATTTCCTCAGAGCCTCTTGAAAGTCCTCCACTTAGACATGAGTGCCAGGTATGGTTCTGTTCTCCTCCCACAGGCTGCACCCCATGTGTAAGAGGACAGGAGTCTGGCGCTCTCAAAACCCAGGCCAAACGATTTGCCTCCTGGGCAAACGAATGTTGTTCTACCAAGGTCTCACCTCCATGAAGCTGTACTTTCCACTTGTCAGTTTTAGATTCTCCCTAATTTTTTTCAGATAAAAGCAGAAGAGTCGAACTGTGTCTCCTTCCGCACACTCGATGCCGTAGCATATTTCACTCCCCACGACCTCCATGGTTCCTGTATCGTCTTGTATTACATAGACTGTTGTCTTCTTGTTATCTTTTTTCTGTAACAGAAATTGAACATCCCGTTTCTCTTTCGGTTTTGTTCAATGTTTTATTATTTATTTTTGAGAGAGAGAGAGAGAGACAGAGACAGAGCACGAGCAAGGGAGGATCAGAGAGAGAGGGAGACACAGAATCCGAAGCAGGCTCCGGGCTCTGAGCCGTCAGCACAGCGCTTGATGCGGGGCTCGATCTCACGAACCGTGAGGCGGTGACCTGAGCCGAAGTCGGACGCTTAACCGACTGAGCCACCCAGCCGCCCCCAACATCCTGTTTCTGAAGACATCGTAACGTTGATATTTGAAGGAGGACCCCGGGGACACAGTGAATACAAGACATAAAAAAGCAATTAGAGGAACACATACACATACAGCTTCGGCAAGGTCTTCTCCAAGAACTTTCGGCTTATGATCTTGCTTTGATAGTTTCCCCTTTCTTGTTCTAGATATTTTCTATCTGGCAGTCCTAGAACAATGAATTTTCTTCCTATTTCCACCGCTTCACCACCAGGGAAGCTTTGATTCCTTCAAACACTGGAATCAGAGGAACCCGAGGGCTTTCATGGACTCCTTTACCTCCTGTCGTCCTGCAGAATGGAATGGACATGACTGCAAGTGTTGATTCAGTAGATTATACAGAACCAACAGAACAAGTAAGGTTCCAGTAACTTACTACTTCTTTTTCCAACCTTCTCCATTAACTCACTCTTCTCCAAGTCTTATCTCCACTGACCTGGATCTTGCAGTTCACAAATGACAGAGTCTCACTTCCTTAAGTTGTAACTCATCCATTCTAGAAATGCATTTCTCTTAAAGACAGAGTTGGAGGGTAATGTAGGTAACTTAAGGGGCTCTCCCAGAAGACAGATGTGTAAGAGTATGAAGCAGTCAATCCTACAAAATGCCTGGTAAGTTCATGAAAGTTTGTGAATTCTGGGGAGACCTGAACACATCATACTGACTATTAACCTGAATTTGGACGTGCCGTACAAGTAAACTTCTCTGACACACGCACCCCCTTTTGGGGGATATAATGGAGTTGGACTGCTGTGTTTTCAACATATCTTGCGATGTCAAACCTTAGTCTTCAATGAACTGTTTAAATAACGTGTTAAATAAATAAGCTAGAGGAGACAGCCTTGCCCATGTCTATCGTTTGCCTACGTGGTAAAGGTATTCATATTCAGGAGGACATGAGCCGATATATTTATTACTCTGATTATGTGTCCCAACCGGAATGAATCTTTGGGAGGCTGATGGATTATTCAAAGATTTAAAAAAAGAGAAAGATAGATTTATACAGTTTTGGAGGAGCTCAGAGATAAGCACATGCATACTGATTCATGCCCTGATAACAGAGGCTGAAAATAATCCTGACCGGGGACACGACAAGATTTCCGGTGACACTTTTTCAAAGAACTTGCATCAAGGTATCTTGGGTACAAGACTACCGGGTCACTAGTCCCACTTCCTGTCATGTGGCTCTCTTGACCACCTACCCGTGGTCAAGAGACAGGCCTGAGAACTGGGCTCACCCGTCAGTCAGCACACACAGAACCTGGCGATCAAAAACAGTTAATTTCAGGTGTGGGTGGAGAACATGAAAACGAATGTGAAGAGATTACCTTCTGCAGGAGAAACAATCCAGACACGATTGTGGGAAGATTACCCGGATCTTCCTGGGAAAGATCTCTGATCTTGGGAGGGGTTTTTGCTCTTATCCAGAGGTCGTTTGGGACCACAATCCTCCGGCCATCAGGAGCTCTCTGCACAACCGACCTTTCGTTTATCTCCAGGACATTTTTGTATCGAATGTATCCTGACACGGTAATGACATTCTCTTGCTTGAATTCCTTTTTCAGCTTGATGTTTAAAACCTTCACTTGGAAAACTTGATTGGAAGTAGCCACCGTAGCAAGAAACACTTTTTTTTTCCTCTGCCCTGGGAACTCAACTGGATCTGTTGCCTTCAGTACCACCACTGTTATGGGGTCCTTTTGAAGGGTAGGCCTCCTAGGAGCCACCTGATTTGGGGCTTGCATAGCTGGGTTCTGTGTTGGACAGAAATAGGAGAACAAAGGTAGGAGTTTGAGCATGGAATACCAGGTCATTTACTTGTGAGTGACACTTCGCTTATGACACTGGGGCCACAACAACCCTCGAAGATCGTTGGAGCTGGGGCCAGGCTCAAAAGGAGTCGCCTAACAGAAAGGAAAGGCTAATGAACTGAGAGCTTAGGCAGTAAAAGTGTAAGGCAGCAGACTGGGATGAGAGTCCAAACACCCTCAGTTGAACACAAGAGCCTTTCCGAATTCAAGCACGATCCTGAGCCCGAGACATGCACAGAACTGTGGATGATAAGAGCATTGGCCTGAGCTAATGAGGGACAGATTCAAATATTTCTTTGACAGAGCAGATTCAGAACGAACAAACAGAAAATGAATGTCAGGCATGTCTGGGCACAGCTCAGACTGCCAATGTGCGCATGCTGTCAGTGGTAAAAAAGAAAAAAAGTGACATGTAGCGTGAAAAGGAGAAAACATTTGAGGAAATAATGAGATAAACTTCTTGGAATGAAAGTAACATGAACATCTTCAGAGTGACTGGCCAAAAGAATGCCAAAAAGGAGAGTAAAGGAAAAACCCGTGTCAGGCAGGACGTAATGTTGAGACCCCGGAAAATACCTAAAACAGCCAGGAAAGTTTGATTCCCAGAGAAAAAGTACAGATCACTTAACAAAGTTGCAGAACCAGATTCTCGACAGCAAAACTACACTGCAGGACCTTTGTACAGCGTTCTACCCAAATTCCATATCTGTGGTTTGGAAATGCCCCAAAAAAGGGAATCCAAAAGGGGTGTGTGTGTGTGCGTGTGCGTGTGTGCGCACGCGTGTTAGTTAGGTGACAAAACTTATTAGGAAAATATCTGATGTGAGGTCTCAGGAGCCTATGTATATATTTTTTAAAAATCCACGTTAGTGTGAGGGCACATACGTCTTGCTACATAAACATGACGGCATGTGAGCTGAGAGACAGGACTCAGATCTTCCTAGATCGTCAGTATAGTACATGATAGATAGTGTGTGTGCATTTGTTAACCTTTCCTAGGTCACTCAAATTCTGAATTCCACAACATATGTGAACCCAAAGGCCTCAGAGCGAGGTTGTGAACAGGTATTGAAGGGAAAAACTAATTTTGAGACAAGAATTTTGTAGCAAACTGAAAATGGCATTTAAATGTGATGTCCTATAGGTGAATCTCTGATATTGACCAACATGATGAACAGTCAGAAGATTTAGCAACACAAAGATACCTATCAAGCACTCTTTTGGAGATAATATTCCCCAAGAGATTAAAGGAGGTTAACATAAAAACACGCTGCAGACTAAAAAGGTAGTGAGGACAAGACCTCGGTTGAGTCTTTCAAAGTTGTAAAAATCAATAAAGCCCCAACGGAAGAGAGAGAAAACAGAAAGTAGGTCAACACAGCGGGGTGAATAGAGGAAGGAGAGATGGTATCTGTTCACTGAGCTGCTTGCCTGGGAAGAGGAGTCAGAGACATTAACTTAAAACTATTGTTGAGGGGTGCCTGGGGGGCTCAGTCCGCTGAGCATCCGACTTGGGCTCAGGTCATGATCCCATGATCTCGCAGTCTGTGAGTTCGAGCCCCGCGTCGGGCTCTGTGCTGACAGCTCAGAGCCTGGAGCCTGCTTCCGATTCTGTGTCTCCCTCTCTCTCTGCCCCTCCCCCACTCATTCTCTCTCTCTCTCTCTCTCTCTCTCTCTCTCTCTCCCTCTCCCTCCCTCTCTCTCTCTCTCAAAGGCAAATAAACACTAAAAAAAAAAAAAAAAACCTGTTGGTGAAGAAGACAGCAAGACAACATAGAATAAGCACTCCAGAAAAGTGCTCTGAATTAATCAAAATGGAGTATTTCACCGAATGGACATAAAGTGATAAACCCATTAAAAGACAAGATTTCAATGTTCAAGTAGCTTTACTATTTTTTTTTATTTTTTTAAATTTATTTTTCAATATATGAAATTTATTGTCAAATTGGTTTCCATACAACACCCAGTGTTCATCCCAAAAGGTGCCCTCCTCAATACCCATCACCCACCCTCTCCTCCCTCCCACCCCCCATCAACCCTCAGTTTGTTCTCAGTTTTTAAGAGTCTCTTATGCTTTGGCTCTCTTCCACTCTAACCTCTTTTCAAGTAGCTTTAGATGGTCCTTAAGTCAAAGACTAATCTGAACTGAGCTTTGCTGCCCAATGATAAAAGTTTTCAATTCCAGACAGATGCAACAGTTTAATTACATATTTGCCTAATAGTTATAGGTACAGATTATTTATTATTAGTTTATATTATCCTCATTATTATGAATAGTGTTATGACACGAGCACATTCCCCTCTCTCTCACTGTATATTCATATATGTGTTAACAGCTGAGAGAACCACAGGGAAAAATGGACAAAATCATGATTATACGTTGGTACTCCCCTATGTCAACTACTGAAAAAAGCAAGAAAAAAAACCACTTAGAAAAGTTGACCATCACTGTTCAACTTAAGTAAAAGCTTGATGTAATATTTAGAAATTTCTGAAACCAATATTTGAAACATAACATTTCTCTCAAAAGCACACGACATGTTTGAGTACCAGGCTCTACAGGAGGACAAGCATTCCAAAGTGTGGCTCCCGATTTGTCTCCAACCACCTCTTTTCTACAAACCGCACTACCCCATTTGCCTGAGCCTTGGAGGGAGGCTCGGAGGGGGTCCTGGGGGACCCGGATGCAGCCCCGCCCCTAGAAGTGGCAGGGGACTAGGACAGGTAGGAAAGTGCTAAGGTGCCTTGTACCCCTGTGAGTGCCCTTGTGAACCCGATCGATGCTCTATTCCGTGTGTGCGTGTGTGTGTGTGTGTGTGTGTGTGTTCCCAGGTTTTGTGAAACATATCCAGACATGGTTTCTGTTGAGTATCATCGCATACTACTTTTTCCCCACCCTGTCTTGTGTCCTGTCTCCTCTACCCCGGCCCCCACCGCAGCCGCGAAGCTTCCAGGCAAGGAAGCCAAGGCCATCTTCTGAATAGTTACTTTTGTTAGAAACACCCGCAGCATGGATTTTAGAATCTACAACAGTCAACATGTATTTCCCTTCCTTCAGGCCTCAGTTAGATGGAACGAAAGATGTCTGGCATCTTCCCCTGGCAGAGAAGGCTTAGAAGGAGCCACTATGGTTTTCAGTATTCAGAACACAGCTGACGGCAACCCCCCTCCCCTGCGCGCTACACACAAGGCTCAGACACTCACCCTTCCCCCGTACCTTGTGGTATCATCGAGCTGCCCAGATGTCCCCCACAGAAGTCCTGGCCAGACTCACCTCACTGACGACTCGCCACAGTCGTCCAGCTATGGAGATTTTCTTCCGAAATACAGCGATCGATGCAGGTTTGGTTTGAGTAGGAAGATATCACAGCAAAGCTCTCACAAACTGAACTGCAGGCTTCTGCAATCTGAAATGCTCTGAAAAAAAAAAATGGAATCCTTCCAAGATAACTTGGGAAACTGCCATTGGTAAACGTCACAAAAGAGCTAAAGCCTGGAGCCCGCCCAGTGTTAGGAAACTTTTCCTGAGGCTCCTCCCATCCATGCCTTTAGCTTTGTCTTTTCTTAGTGAGAGAATGTGAGTCGAGAAGCTTTCTCTTAAACATTTCGGTGACCATGAAAAGTTAGAGCTAAATTATCACTTTTTAATTTTATTTTATTTTGTAAGAATGTCTGAAAGGAGTTTCAACTTAGAACTTTCTTATCCTAGCGGACTTTACTGTTGGTCAGTGGACCCTGGAGCCCCTTCAGTGAGGCTCAACTATCAAAGAGGAGAAGTGAGTCACCCACCCACAACTTCCTGTTTTCCTGCTTACATGGCACTCGATGGGAGGGAGGAGATCTTAGGGAAATTATTTCCAAATAAACCTAAGTGACAAACAGGTTCATATCCTTGCTGCAATGAATCATCAAATCCCGGCAGATCAGGAAGATTCTAGAAGAGAGGAGGGCCTACTAAAAAGGTTGTCTGCAATGTTGTGATCTGTATAGGACTGCGGGTACAATTTGGAGAATTGTAACCCTGAGAGGTCAACTAGATGGAACCAGGCAGCATCCTTGTATGGCGATTACACACCATCTGACTTGCAGGAAGGCAGAGTCCGTGAAATGTAAAGGGGTCCCAAAAGCAGGGCACGTGAAGGGAGGGAGGAGAAAACTGATGGAGACAATTGAGGCAATTGGAACTAGGTTTGTGGAGGAGAGAGTTGCAGTCTGTGTCTGAAAAACATCTGCAATCAATGAGTGAGGCAGGGATGCAGGGTGGGGGCTGGCAGGAGTGCCCAAGGCTCTAGTGGGTTGTCACAATTCTTTATTCCAGACTTAAGTGCTGCTTCTATGGATGCATTGAGCTCTCTTCACATTACGAGTGGAGGGACTTCAGGGAGACCAGAGGGTCCCCGACCAGAGACCAGGAGGCAGAGGACAGGAATATGGACGACTCAGGACATTTTCTTCCTGTTGAACTGGAAACTACCTTATGTGGAGGGATGCCCTCTGATGCTTCCCCCTCAGAGAACACACACGTTACTGGCCCACACAACGGGGAGTCAGGACAATGCTCCGACATGCATGTGTGCGCTTAGGGTCGTAGAAGATGAACCAAAGCGACCAAAAACAAATGTGCCTTTTCCCTGACTCTTAATCAGTGGTCAAACATCAGCGACCGGGGCCATTACAGAGATAGATACAAGGCGATCGATCTGGCCCTCCACCCACTAAAAGATCAGTGTTCCCTAATTCGCAAAGCTTCATCAGTGTAATGATAAGAGCCACCTGGGAACGGAGAGAACATTCAACATGGGGGAAAAGCCTGGAAAACGCTTGTGGACCTGCTGTCATCTCTAGTTCTGGTCTCACGTACTATTTTAGAAGATCACTGAAAACCCCCAGTCAAGAGTCACCACCAGGTTGATGTGCTAAGTAGGTCTCGCTGTTAGGAGATGCTTCCTACGGAGAGGAGCTCGAGCAGACGCAAGAGCACCCGCCCCAAGAAATCACAGGAAGGTCCTTAAAATTCCATATTCAATCTTGGGTTAAAGGTATAGGGTAAGTGCTGTACCTCAGAGAAGAATATGGGAGGGGACGATGCGCTGGGTGTAGTTCAACCACCTCCTACTCTTCGGGGCCAGAAAACCCTATTACTGTGTGAGCCTGAGCGGGCCAACGTGATTCACCCATTTACCAAGTCGTCAGTCACCTGAATTTATATTCTATAAGAACCTACCCTTGCCTGTATTAAAGTTATGTATGGTTTTTGTTTATTTTACTGTTCGTTTGCTGTTTACTCTTCTTTTTTGTCTGTGTAGCTGCATTTTACAATATACAAAATCAATTCATGTATCGATCTCTTCTTATAGCTCTGTTATTTCTAAATACCATTTATTGTTTGCTTTGCTCCATTTTTTCCTAGTGGTAGGAGACATAAATTTATATGAATTATATTAGTACTCTCCTCTTTTAAATGAAAACACTTAAAGTAACATTCTTTTCTGGTCAGGACTACTTTTGCTTTGTTCCCTAGGCCCTATGGAGTCTGGTCGTATTGCCCCTCGCGATCCTTGGCATGTATTAAGAAATGGCTTATTTTAAAATTTGTTATGTCATTTGAAGAAAGTTGTACCTTTTCTAGATATCTTATTGCTAACTTCCAATTGGGGTGGTCATTAAAGACACTGTAAGTTTTCAGATGTGAATTTTACTGAGGCCAACTTAAGTCCCTGCATGTACTTACTTACTTTGGTGAGCATTCCATGTACACTTGAAGAGACAATGCGGAGAATTCAGTTGTTTTTACGGCGTCCTTTAAATGAAAATTAGATCACACTGGTTGAATTTGGGGCTACATTTTGCAGTATGTTCCTGGTGTTTTTCTTCTTCTTCTAGCACATATTGCATTGGAGGCTTAAATACCTATCCGTGATTGTCGATTTACCTTGGACCACATCAGTGCTGTTAGGTTTTATTTTGCAATGTGAAGGTTCCATTAAATGGGTTGCTAACGTTGTTACGCCTTTCGGAAAAGTTCGCCAAGCTCTTTCCCCAGCTTCTCTTCTTACCACACCTGTAACCAGCTTTCTCTGTATCGCGTCAGAGTTTGGCTCAGGCTTTATTTAGGTGGATTTGCGTGAATCTCACCATGTTTCCCTCGTCCTTCTGATTCGTTAGAACTCAAAGTCTTGAGTCAAGTCAGGGATCCGTTTTGGGCTTTGCTAGTGTGTGTTTCATACCAGTCCCTTTTCTGGTAGTTGGGCCTTCTTCCTAGGATTCAGTCTTACTGGTGTCAAGCTGGATGGCAATGGCAGTGAGCTTACATCTTTACCTAAGCAATCGGCACAGGCCCCAGCACTGTGTGCTCTCTTGCCCCTATGTTGTTTTTCAGCCCTGTTGAGATAGAATTGACATATAACACTGGGTACCTTTAGGGCATGTGTGTTGATTTGTTACCCTTATATGTCGCAAAGAGCAAGATTTCCTTCTTTCTTAAGGTTGATTAAACGTCTATTGTGTATTTACATCGCGTTTTCTTCATCCATGCATCCCTTGATGGACACTTAAGTTGTTTCATATCTTGGGTACTGTGACTGGGTCTGCATTCACATGGAGATACAAGCATAGCCCTTTGATATCCTGTTAATACTTTCGGACGTACACCCAAAGGTGGGGATTCCTGGATCATACCGTAATTCTATTTTTAATTTTTTGAGGAATTTCCAATCTGTTCTCCAAAACGGATCACCTGTTTGCATTCCCGCCAACAGTGCATGAGGGTTCTCTTCTTTTCCACATCTTCACCAGCATTGGTTATCTCTTGCATTTTTAAAGAAAATTCTCTGTATTTATTTTGAGAGAGAGAGAGAGAGAGCGAGAGCATGCTAGTAGGGGAAGGGGTGGACAGAGGGAGACGGAGGGAGTGGGAGAATCCCACGTGGGCTTCACACTGTCAGTGTAGACAAGCCTGACGTGGGGCTTGATCTCAATCTTGACCTGAGCTGAAATCAAAAGATACGTGCTTAATGGACTGAACTACCCAGGCCCCCTTGTTTGTTGATTATGGCCATTCTAACAGGTGTGAGGTGACATCTCACTGTGGTTTTGATTTGCATCTTCCTGAGGATGACTGATGTTGGGCACCTTTTCATGTACCTGTTGGCCATTTGTATGTCTTGCTTGGAAACAGTCAGGTTAGTTCCTCTGCCTGTTTTTTTTTAATTGGATGGTCTATTGCAGGGTTTTTGTTTTTGTATTGCTGTTGACTTGTATGAGTCTGCATACATTTTGGATATCATCCCTCATCAGACATACGGCTTCAAATATTTCCTCCCATCCCCTAGGTTACTTTTTCGTTATGTTGATTGTTTCTTTTGCTGTGTTTTCATTGGAGACAGTCCCGCTTACTGAGTTTCTGCTTTTGCCACATATTCTTTGGTGTCATATCAAAAATTATTATGGGTCTCTTCTGTGTTTTCATCTTGGATTTTCATGGTTTCAGGTGTCTTGTTGAAGTCGATACTCCTTTCCAAGTTCGTGTTTTTTTTTTTTTTTTTTTGAGTGGGGTAAGATAGGAGTCTAGTTTCATTCTTCTGCATGTGGTGATCCAGTTTTCCCACAGCTGTTTTTTTTTTCTTTTTTTACTTGTGAAGTTTTATTTTTCTTTATTTTTCTTTTTTTTTCCCTTTGTGACCTTATGGCAGACAAAGATTTCTTTTCTTTTTTTTAAAATATGAGATTTATTGTCAAATTGGTTTCCATACAACACCCAGTGCTCATCCCAACAGGTGCCCCCCTCAATGCCCATCACCCACCCTACAGCTGTTTATTGAAAAGACTACCCTTTCTCCAATCAGACAAGGTACCCTTGCCTCTCTTGCCAAATATTAGTTAACAGGGGTTTATTATTGGGTCTTGATTCTTTCCCATTGATATGTGTGTCTATTCTTACACCAGTTCCATACTATTTTGGTCACTACAGTGTCGTAGCATAGTTTGATCAGGAAGTGTCATACCTCCAGCTTTGTTCTCCCAACTCAAGATTACTTTGGCTATTTGGGGTCTTTGTGGTTCCATTAAAAAAATTAGGGTTTCGGGGCGCCTGGGTGGCGCAGTCAGTTAAGCGTCCGACTTCAGCCAGGTCACAATCTCATGGTCTGTGAGTTCGAGCCCCGCGTCAGGGTCTGGGCTGATGGCTCAGAGCCTGGAGCCTGTTTCTGATTCTGTGTCTCCCTCTCTCTCTGCCCCTCCCCTGTTCATGCTCTGTCTCTCTCTGTCTCAAAAATAAATAAACGTTGAAAAAAAAATTAAAAAAAAAATTAGGGTTTCAAAAATTTATCTGTGTGAAAACACCATTGTAATGTTGATAGGAATCTATAAATCGCCTTGGGTAGTATGGACGCACTAAAACTATCGATTCTCCTGCTCCATGAAC